CCTATGCCATGTTGTGATGTTGGCTACAAAGAAAATTGGCATCGAATTATGCGAGTCGGACATCGACGAGGTATCACGAGTGGGCCCAAAAACTCACAGTAAGACCGTTAAGAGCTCGTCTCAATCAAAAACTCCGCGCCCAATCGTCCTAAAATTAACAAGGAAACGGAAACGTGACGACATCATGAGAGCAGCGAAGTCAAGACGCAATGTAACGTCCGAGAACATAGTTGAGGCTGCCCCCTCCAGGATATTCTTCAACGAAAGGCTTTCAAAGGAAAACAGGCGGTTATTTCGTGAAGCTCGATCTCGCGCCCACGGACACGGGTTTCGTTATTGTTGGACACGAAATGGAGGCATCTTCGTCAGGAAAGCCGACAACAAACCAGCAATACGAATATCCACAGACGCTGACTTGGATGAACACGTTGGACCTGATAAGGGACCAGAAGAAGTTACCAGTGCCTAAGACTACAAGCACAGCTATGTACCCGTCTTATAATTTTTTATTACTTGTTTTAGAGTTTTTATTACTTAGTATTATAATAATATATTCGATATTTTGTTTTGTACAACCAAGATCTCAATACTTACACTCTCACACACACACACACACTCAAACTCACTTACACTTATTTACACTAATACACTTACATTACATAACAAATACAAACGTGGAGGTAAAAATGTATACAAGCTCACCCAAATTAGGCGAGGATGGTCTATTTATTATATTTTACAATCAAAATAAATATTTTCTTAATTTAGTCAAAATAAAGTTAATTAAAAATGAATCACTTAGCCAGAGATCTTGACGAAACTCTGTCAATAGACTGTCACTCGCTTGAGAATATTGAATCATGTGTAGATTTCTTGGGTCCAGATTTAAATTTCAAGTGCCTTACTTTAAACATTAGAAGCATTCAACACAACTTTGATGCATTCTTAGTAACATTAAAACGCTTGAATGTGGAATTTGACGTAATCATTCTGACTGAATGTTGGCTAAATGAAAACTCCGTTATCCCACAATTGCTAGGTTATGAGTCATTTAGGACCAATAAATACATAAATAAGAGCGGCGGCGTTGTCGCCTATATAAAGGAATCTTTAAAAGCCTGCGTGATCGAATCATCCTGTGAAGATTGCAATTGTCTTGAAATCAAATTAGATGGAGGCTTACCAGTTGTATTAGGAATTTATCGATCACCAACTTTCACAAACATTAGAAACTTCTTATTGTCATTGAACTCAGTACTTCTCAACCATAGTAAAAATAGTAAAATTATTATAACTGGTGATTTGAATTTTGACATATGTGCTCAACCCCTAAGCGAACAAAGCACTGAGTACATATCACTTCTAAGCGAGTATCAACTAATACCAGCCATAACAAAGCCTACCAGAGCCAACGCATGCCTTGACCACTTCTTTGTTAAATCCTCAGATCAGGCCGTAGGTTTGGTATGCCTCACAGATATCACGGATCATTATACATGCTTACTAGGGATGAAAACTAGCCAATATAAAAACATTTCTCCGCGTTACAGACATAGGGTAAACCATGAGGCAATTGTAAATGAAATATCCTCAACTGATTGGACACCCGTCCTTGACTCCCAGGACGTTAACGAAGCGCAGTCTTCTTTCAGCGAAATAATCAACTCTGTTTTGAAAAGTAACACTACACAGATAAAAATTAGTCGATCCAAATACAATTTGAAACCCTGGATTACACCCGGGCTTATCAGGTGCCAAAAACAGAGAGACCGTTTGCATTTAAAAGCTAAGAGAGATCCGGAAAATAGTATTATTCAAGTTACTTATAAAAGGTATCGAAACTTTCTCAATAACATTCTCCAAAAAACTAAATCCGAGTACGAGAACCATATTTTAACAACCAATAGAAATAACCCTAAAAGACTCTGGAATACAATAAAGGATATATGTCACTTAAATAAAACTCGTAAAGCCCCTACTGAATTAACAAGTTCCAAAAACGATCCTTCCTCCTCTTTAAATTACTGCAATAGCTACTTTGCCAATGTAGGAAAGGACCTGGCTGACAAAATCCTTACTACGCTCGCCGTAACCGAAAACTCGCTAGCGGCATCAGCAGCACCCGAAATATTAACATCTAAATCATTCTTTATGACTCCAACAGACGAAAAAGAGGTAAATAACATTATTAGCGACTTAAAATTAGACAGCTCTCCCGGCATCGACAAGTGTACACCCCTGATTATCAAACTTCTTAGGAATCACATCATAAAACCGTTAACTCACATTTTCAACCTCAGCCTAGCTTCAGGAACTTTTCCTCAAGCTTGGAAATTAGCTCTAGTTACTCCTGTCCACAAAGGCGGAGATAAAAGTTGTCCGTCCAACTATCGGCCCATTTCTTTACTCAACATCTTTTCTAAAATGTTAGAAAAGGTAGTGAACAAGAGAATAGTTGCATTCTTAGAAAATAACGATCTCATTCCGGAGAGGCAATTCGGTTTTCGATGTGGAAAATCAACAGAAGACGCAGTATTGCTGCTCACAAATACGGTTGTAAATGCACTAGATGAAAATAAATCCTGCCTTGGTGTCTTCTTAGATCTCGCGAAGGCATTTGACACGGTCTCAATCCCAATTCTTTTACAGAAACTAAATGCGGTAGGCATTAGAGGAATAGCTAATGATTGGTTTTCCAGCTACCTCTCAAATCGCAAACAGTGTGTCCGTGTCGGTTCTGAGATAAGCGATGCTCTCCAGGTCGAGTACGGTGTCCCACAGGGAAGCATACTAGGTCCAACCCTGTTTATCGTATACATGAGCGACATCCTAAATTTGAAACTCGAGGGAGCCGACATATTGTGTTATGCTGACGATACAGTGATTCTTTTCCAAGACTCCTCGTGGGATAGAGTTTATGAAAGGGCAGAACAGGGTCTGAAGACCGTCGCTAACTGGCTCAGTAGTAACCTTCTGACATTAAATGCCAAAAAATCTAAACATATAGCTTTCCACAAAACAATAAAAACACAAGCACCTGCCTCGAAACAACTTAGATTACATCTTTGTGACATGATGAATGCTTTAAATTGTAATTGCAACGGAATTGATCGAACTGATAGGATAAAATACTTGGGAGTCACAGTAGATGAAAACATGTCGTTTAAAGCCCACATCTCCAACCTTTCATCCCGCATTCGGAAAACTATATATATTATGAAAAACCTATAGGATAAAATACTTGGGAGTCACAGTAGATGAAAACATGTCGTTTAAAGCCCACATCTCCAACCTTTCATCCCGCATTCGGAAAACTATATATATTATGAAAAACCTAAGGTACTCGGCTACTAAAGGTACTCTACTACTAGTATACAAGGCTCTCTGTCAATCACTATTAATGTACTGCATCAGAGCATGGGGTGGTGCCGGAAAAACCTTTATGATAGAACTAGAAAGAGCCCAACGGGCGGTAATTAAGGTGATGCTGCGCAAACCTTTCAAATTTAATACCAACCAATTATACAATGAAGCAAAAGTCCTAAGAGTAAGACAGCTGTACTTTTTAAAAGCAACAACCAGTATGCATAGCATTATTCTAAGGTCTCCTGAATACGAACAACTACTTAAACGGAGAATTTTTAAGATTCCAGTCCCAACGGTTCGAACTGCTTTTGCTAAACGCCACTCCTGCTTCCTTCTGCCTCATGTTTATAATAAAGTCTGTCGTAATATAAACATAAAAACACTTACAACACCAGGCGCAAAACGCGAACTCGAGTCATGGCTGCTAGGCCTTGATTATCTGGACACAGAAGCTTTACTTCCGCGCCGAGCCTCCATATAAATAGCCTTAAACACACTACATAACATCACAGCACTTTACTCACACATTACACGCACATTACACACACAACACACACACACACACACACACACACACACACACACACACACACATTACACACACTACCTCAGTTACTTTTTGTTTAGTTTTGTTTAGTCTAAGTTAAAAATATTCTAATTATCTTAAGAGTTTAATAACTGTTAATTGCCATGTACCGTGTGTCCTCACTATATTTTTATCAACAATTGTTAACCTGTGTTACTTAAGGCTGCCGCGACACAAGCACAGCTTAGTGCAGCAGCCGCTAGATAAACAGACTGTACATTTTTTTTTGCTGGCAAATAAAATACTTTTTTTTTTTTTTTAGGTACTTATTTTCTACTTAAATAAAAAACATCAGTGGTACTCTCACCTTTTTTAAAGTGTCGGTGTTCGATAAATTATAAGTAATAATATGTAATACAATAAAAAAAGTTATAAATATTAGCACAAAAATGTCTCTCTTTATTTGTGAATTTGCAGGAATCTATTGGTCTGGTCTTTATAAATCACTTTACTCGCCGATGTCGCCGACACGGCAGCTTTGGAAAGCAATATATTAAAGACCACATTCCCTCAAAAATTGTGTCGGTAGCTTCAATGTTAGGGTTGCCATACGTCCGGGAAATCCGGGGTTGTTCCGGAATGTTGCGCCTGTGTCCAGCAATTTCACTTTAATGTCCCGGAATTTAGCGATTACCAGTTTTATCACAAAGTTACAGACACCCTACTTGCGGTCGCGTTTAAGAGACGCTGAGCTGACTGAACAAAGTTTTTAGCTAGTGCTAAAGATATTAAAAATGTTGTTTTTACGAAAAAGTATTAGTAAATTCGACACCCACTATACATTTTGAGATGCAATATCGCTACTTCAAAGTATTTATTTGATGTGCTACTGTATTATTAACGCCAAATTCACGCATTTAAAGCTACTCTAACTCTAGAGTCATCATTATCATCATTAGGCCATTTTGTCTCCACTACAGGAGCGACCCTTTCTGATTTGCTAGAGACAAATAGAGATTTCTGACCCACACTGGACAGATGGGTTAAGGTGTGTAGAGCTTTTAAAATAAATAAAAATAATGTATTAAGTAACGTCATTTGTTCTCAGTTATGCTACGGGGCTTCGTCACCAGCTCTATCGGACAGGGCGCGGTTTCCCACGCTGTTCCGAACCCACCCTTCGGCCACGGTCCACAACCCCACGAGGATCAAACTAATGCAGAAGTTCGGGTGGTCACGCATCGCCATCTTGCAGCAGGCTGAAGAGGTCTTTATATCTGTAAGTTGAAATATTATTTGACCTTTTTAACTTACGCTACAAATTCTAAACTACTTTATAGCGCTTTTAAACGACAATTTAATAGCCAAACGGTGAAGGTATCGAATTGGCCGACTCGAGATCAGTGGAACGCTAATTCGACTGAATCCCGCGCGCCGTTGGACTATTTGTGGTGAACCCACTCGTAACACAAGCATATTTTAGCAGCAAAAGGGGTCAACAGGACTATTAGTAATTTGTGTAATACTTAATTTGGTATGGAACGAATGTGGCAGCCCTGCCCCCCTAGACAAAGTAATTTCAACTATCACGTACCTACTTTGTTCTTTATCTAAAAGGGCTGACTTGGCAGAAGTAATTAACTCGAACAATCACAAACTCAGTGAAGGGGCAAACTTCAGTTTGCAACAAATTTATTTATTCATAACTAGCGGCCGCCCGCGACTTCGTACGCGTGGATCCCGTTTTACCCCCTTCGCACAGTAGATAAATCAAACAGTACGGAAGCTTCATACAAACGCTCGAAATCAGACTCACGCACACAGACGCACGCTTTACACGAGCTCTAAGCGAACCTCGCAGTCCATCCGTCGCGAGTGTCGCGCGCGTTGTGTTTCTAATAATAATTTTATTGCATGCACTGTCCGCTGTATTTTCAAAAAACATGCCACGAGTGTATTGCGTAGTATACGGCTACTTAAACTCGGCTTTAGCTCATATATCTACTGTGCCCTTCGTCTATCTTACGCGGTTTAGATTTTTCATACAAATGTTTTTTTCCGCTAACTCCCGTTCCCGTGGGAATTTTGCAATATCCTGTTTTAACTAAGCTTCAAGTTTACTAAGGTACCTGCATGCCAAATTTCAAGCGTCTAACTTAAGCGGTTTAGATTTTTCATACAAATGTTTTTTCCCGCTAACTCCCGTTCCCGTGGGAATTTTGCAATATCATGTTGTAACTAAGCTTTAAGTTTACTAAGGTACCTACATGCCGAATTTCAAGCGTCTAACTTAAGCGGTTCAGATTTTTCATACAAAACGATTTTCCCGCTAATTCCCATTCCCGTGGGAATTCCTAAGTATCCTATAACCTGCCCAGGAGTATGAAGAATAATTGTACCAAGTTTCGTTAAAATCCGTCGAGTAGTTTTTGTTTCTATAAGGAACATACAGACAGACAGACAGACAGACAGACAGACAAAAATTTAACTGATTGCATTTTTGGCATCAGTATCGATCACTAATCACCCCCTGATAGTTATTTTGAAAATATATTTAATGTACAGAATTGACCTCTCTACAGATTTATTATAAGTATAGATTAGGTTTTGATTCCCTAGCGTGTGACGGAAATTCGTCTAAGGTGTCGGTATAAACTGCTGTATCTTTTGATCGCGTTAACTTAGAAGTTTGATTTTTTTACTTCTTAAAGGGACAATAGATCTAAGTATTTAGTATAAATTTCAATTTGATACCTTTATTCGTTCGTGAAAATAAGGTAGTAAGTTTCATTTTATTAAAATATTTTTATTATATTATATAACTAAAAAAATGTAATTTTCGCAATTTTTCCAATATTTGCATTATATGACAATGCTTTATGCCAAATTTCAAGATTCTGAGTTTACGGGAGTATCCTGTAGGTTTTGATTCCTTTGCGAGTGTCGAAAATTTGTTGAAAATATCGACATAATCGGCTGTATCTTTTGATTGGCTTGGCTTAGAAGTTTGATATTTTCACAGCTTAAAGGGACAATAGACCTGAGTATTTCATGTGAATTTCAGTTTGATACGTTCACGCGTTCTTGAGATAAAGGGTCTTGACAGACGGACGGACAGACGGACAACAAAGTGATCCTATAAGGGTTCCGTTTTTTCCTTTTGAGGTACGGAACCCTAAAAACTCCGGATTATTAGTTCGTCGGTCTGAGAGACCGACGCGCGGGTATAGGAAGGTTAAACGAATAAATACCAAATAAACGAGCAACTGCACTCAGAGTGCTGCTGACAACGCCACTCTTGTGGCGGAGTTTTGGGCTGACACTGTGTAGGTTTGTTGTCGACACGAAAAGAAGAATACAAAATAAAATGTAATTTTACAAAAATATAAGGCACTAACTAATACAAAAATCGTATGGTGTGGTAACTTGGTTGGGTTTTTAATCTTATAGGATGGCTAGGAACCCTCGACTGAACCGGTTTATGTCCATGTTTAGGAACATTATCTTCTGCCATAGCTCAAGTAGCAAAACAGTTCAAGTCGTGTGCGGCCGGCCTACTCCGCTCGAGGGAGGCGATAGGAAGCGATTATAACATTACCCGCCTCTTAATTACAAACAGAGTGGACATGGTAGACTACATCACTACATGCTGCACAAGGGTTCTTTAGAAAACTCTTTTGAATTACTCTATTCAAGTACATTGTATTTTGACTTGTAAGTTCGTTCGTTCGTTCGTTTCAGCATCCATTCACCTCCCGCGACCTTCACCAGATCGTCGGTCCACCTAGTGGGAGGCCTGTCCACGCTACGTCTTCCGGCCCGTGGTCACCACTCAAGAACTTTCCTGCCCCAGCGGCCATCAGACTTGGAAGTAAGATAGTCAAATTCAAAGTCATAGTCAAAATTTCTTTCTTTGAGACACTAGCGGCCGCCCGCGACTTCGTTCGCGTGTATCCCGTTTTATCCCTTTAGGTGTTGAATTTTGCAAAATCCCGTCTCAGTGAGCACCTAAGTTCTAAAAGGAACCCCCATGCAAAATTTGAGACTCCTAGCACTTGTAGTTTCTGAGATTTCGTGATGAGTGAGTGAGTGAGTCGGTCAGTCAATCAGTCAGTGACCTTTCGCTTTTACAAATCGTCAAAAAGTACCTAATCTTTTTACCCTACCAGCTCTTCCAGACCAACATTTAACTGATGGCCAGGTTAGGGATTCCGGGGATTCGGGTAAAACTCGCTTCCACCTTCAGCCTGATCATCACTTGTCTTGTCATTAAGAGCGTTTACGCGAAGCGCGGCGTTTCAAGGGGCATCATTGGAAATGATTCGCGCGCGGCGTTTTTTAATAGTTTTCAAATGTTTATAGCAAAACAATAACAATGAATTAAATATCGTTTCAAAGTAAATATTTTAAAGAAGATGTTGTTTTATTATATTAAGCTATTTTTATGTCGAATAAAGGAAGAATATTGGTGAAAAAATCACTTTGATTTTTGGGTATTTCACGTTCTTTTAATTTGTGATTTCTTATTGTAAAATTCTTAAATCTAAAAATTTTCTCAGATAACTATTTGCCCAAGGATCTATGCTATAGGATATAAATGTTTGTTAAATCGTATTCACAGTATTTTTATAAAAATTTCAGCTTGTAAACTGACGCTAAAGTGGAAATTTACAAAACCTGTGTGGACTTATCTTGATAGAATTCTTAAATACTAAACTAATCGCAATATTTTCTCAATTAACTATTTAGACGACGAAATTGCCTAACTATTTATGCCTATAACCTATTTGTAGCATTACTGGTTAATGATTGTAACGAGTTGAAAAAGTACCGTTTTTGCGCCAAACGGCGTAAACGCTCTTAAGTGAGATGCAGGCCAAGAGCTTCTTAGTGGATAAAAATGTTTAGTACTAACGATAGAGTTGCATACAACGTCTCTAGACAAAGTACAAGTAACTAGCATTCGTATCGATTTGTGCAAAAAAATAATAATTTGGAACGACGCGATTTCAGTATTACAAATGTCATAATTATGAATTAGGAAGTCGCCCAGTGACTTGGTCCATGTTGAGCTTGGCCCACGGGCCAAGTCCCTGATTTGAATTTTTAAATGGTTTTTCTACTACCAGTGACGGCAGTGACTCAATATTTTATTAATAAATTAAACACCAAATCAACAAAAATCTACTCTATAGGTAATCTTAAAGGTGGGCCCAGTCACTGGAAGAAAAACCATTTAAAAATGGGACTTGGCCCGTGGACCAAGCTAAAAGTAGGCCAAAGTCACTGGAAGACTCGAATTAGGTATTTTGCTAAGGAGAGCTGCTCTCCTAGTTGCAAAGGTTTCAGTTTAATACCCGTATTTTAATATGGTGTAGGTTGATACCACCTACATAAACAATGTTGGGACACGTAGTGAAGCTACCACAATATCGGAAAGAAAACGAATTTAATTTTGTTTCGGATTAACCCTAAAAAGTCAAGATCATTCTCAAAAATATTATTATCAACATTTACTTTTGAAACTCTCTAATCCGTAATTCCCGTTTTTTAACTCAAAAAAATCTACCTGGGGTGACACCTTTTGTATTTAAAATGGGATTAAGACTTATTTTCGAGGGACACAATGTTTCATATTTATTTAAACAATAGTAAGGTATAGCTGAGGGTATAGCCACGAGCTAAAAGTTTAAATATTTATGAAATAAAACTATTGCGATGGCGTGGGAAAGTGGTAAAATTTTATTTGCCTTTACATTTTTATTTGAAGCTTTAAATAAGGAGTACTAACTTTACTTCAAAAAAACCTTGTCAACATTGATAAATCCGAACTAAAAAATCTACTTCTCGGTATTCAATTACTCATCATGTAGTAACGTATGGGAGAAAATATTTTTATGGCGGATGATATTTTTGAATAATTAATTTTACTTAATACTTCGACAAAGTTACTTTGTTGCTTCTGTTATTATAAAAAAGTACACCTACTTAATTTTAGCACAGAAACCCCATTTAGTTATGGAGTAACTCTAAAATATAATTTTAATCTAGAAATCACAAATTAACATTAATATTGCATCGGCAAAAACCATAAATCTACGGAAGAACCGCGTTTTTAGAGCTTTTATAAATGAGCAATTCACCAAAAAACATACACCTGATAGTTTTTCTACTAAAACGATAACATTGTCGTTTCAACAATCTACCAATTACACTTTTTAAGTGTCACCCAGTATAATCCTTTAATCCTTGAACCAAGCTTAGATAATCTTAAAAGTT